AAATGTATTTCGGGACCATGGTCGAATCGTACTCCGGAATTCTGAAGACCTCTTTGTTACTTTACCCAAACAAATAATTGGGTCATTTTTGTCAAAAATATCATTTATAAGGGTTAGATTACTCAATTTCCCTTGTCTTTAATACTTAATCCTTTACTTACATATAGGGTTGTAAATGAACCGAACGTCAACAAGTTGTTCGTGAACCGTTCAGCGGGAAGTTCGTTTACGTTTGTTTATTTAATAAATGAACGAATATGAACACAAATTTTCGTTCGTTTAATAAAACGAACGAACATGAACAATGGTCTTGTTTGTTCAATTATGTTCGTGAATGTTTGTGTATGATGTTCGTTTATGTTCGTTCATATAAGTTCCTTTTATGTTCGTACATGTTTAATTGTGTTTGATTACATTACTATATTATATGTTCATATATGTTAAGTTATGTTTGTTTATCTTTGTTCATTTATGTTTGTTTAGCATGTTCACAAACTTAAATAAACGAATATGAACAATGTAATTTGGTAAACGATTGAACATGAACAAGAAATATCATATGTTTATATGTTCGTGTTCGTTCATTTGTTCGGATGCAAATACACAAAAGTCATATGGCAAAAGCCATGGACTGTTTCTGTATTTATAAAAATAAAAAAAAAACAAAAAAAAAAAAAACACTCAATGATATTTTATGTAAATTACGGAGACAATTTTTGTAATTAATTTTCTACACAAGGTTCAAACCTACAAAAAAACAAAAATCTTAGACATATGGACTGTTTTTGTAAAAAAAATAAAAATAAAAACAAAACAATACAAAAACAATAACAATAACAATAAATAAATAAATAACAATTTACATAGACCTTTTCTATAAATTAAAAAATTACAGGGATTAAGTTTTCCAAAATACAAAACTTTTGTTATAGGGACTAAATATACCAAAAGGTTTTGCAGGGACTAAATCTATCAAAATGTAAAACTATAGTTGTAGTGACTAAATATACTAAAATGTAAAACTTTTGTGAGGAAACTCTAAAAGAAGAAAATTCTTCTCTTCATAAAGAGTTTCTAAATAATATATAAGTAGGGAAAATGACTTCATAGGGTAACATATTTTTTGTTTTGTACACGTTTAGTCCTTAATGTTTTTTTCTTGTAAAATAATTCATTTAACTTGTTGTCTTGTACACATTCAGTCCTTATGACCGGCTAATCCAGGTTATGATCGACTACTCCATGTTAAGTTCTCATTTTGTACGCATTTAGTCATTAAAATTTTTTGTTGAAAAATAATTTCTTATTGTTTTTGTACACATTCAGTCCTTATGATAATGTATTTTTAGGTTTTGCTCATATGGCATCCTACGTGGGACAATCATTAATAAGGTGTTCTTATACGTGGTTTATCCCTCACTTATATCAGTAACTTAATTCACATATCGGTCAAATAATGTTGGTGTCCTAGTTTTCTCTAAGAAGAAGATGTTTTAAGCTTCAGTTTGACCATTTTTCAGCAAATAGGTTTTTTGTTCTTTTCAATGTAACCTTGAATTTTGAAGATGAGCTTGAAACTATTAAAGATGTGGTTTCATTTCTCAACCACCTTGAATCACAAAATACTGAAACCCTAGAACGATTCGAATACTATTGCGATGACTAAGGACACGTGTATGTCTCAAGCACCTCGAATCGTAAAACACATTATTCCACTTCACATTCGATCCATGTGTGAGAACACTTCATTAATGATTGTTTCAAATAGGATGTCATGTGAGCAAAACCTGAAAAGCTTATCATAAGAACTGAATGTATATAAAAACAATAAGGACTTATTTTGCAAATAAATAAATAAAAATATTAATGACTAAATGTGTACAAACTGAAAACTTAACCTACAGTAATCGGTTATAAGGAAAGGTTGTGTACAAAAACAAAAAGTTCAAAGGCTTATTTTACAATTAAAAAAAAAAGAAAAAACCAAAAAAAAAAAGAAAAAAACAAAAAAAACAAAAAACAATAAGGACTAAACATGTACAAATCAAAAACTATATTACCCTTGTAAATCATTTTTCCTATTTTCCCTGTAAGTATAAATTGCATTACTTTACAAGGAAGTTTGGGGTAGTGTAAACTTTAAACACTTAGTCCACACTTTTTTTAACTCACACAGTTTCTATAGTTTGATTTTGTCTCAAATTTGATGAAGAGTCAAGTTTAAAAAAACTATTTTACCTTTAATGTTTTTTTAATCTTTTTCTAATTGTTACATTATTAGTTAATAGCTAAAATAATAAGAAACCCACCACCCACTCCCCACTACCATACCCCACCCCGCTCTTCCATGTTAAGACGTAGGCCTTTTACTTGCCGGAAAATCTCATTTCCTCGTCGAAATCACCCCTTATCCAATACCACTAAGAACACATATTGAGAAGGAAGATCGAAGAAAATCATATCTAAGAGAAGATGCAAAACAAAACATATCCAAAATGGATCCAACCAAGATCAAACCAGTTGCAAAATCGATTTTGGATCTTGTTACATGATTTTTTTTTACATCAAAACTTAAACCTTTGATTCTATGGTCTCTTGAAAGATATAATAGAAGAGGAGTCAGCTTCGTGTCCATATGTTTGTTTAAATGTTTAAAATCTTTCATAAGTAACTAAGTATAAAACTTTATTCCTATGGATCTTAAGAATGTGTCAAACTAAAAGTAAATCGTCAACACACAAACTCATCTCTATTACATTTCGATTTCTCCAAAGGAGTTTGAAGTTTGAACAAACTCATACAACTGGCTTAGGTAAATTGTCAAAAATGCCACACCTGTCTGCCAATAATTAAGGCATAAAATTAAGCTTACAAAATAACAAAATGAGTGTCAAATAAGGCACCAAGGGTAAATCTGTAAAACAACATTTAAACAGGAATGTGCAAGGACAAAATACTTAGCTCTTCATTCGGATGTATACATGGCCAACTCAATCTCTTCTGTGCTTTTCCCTCACCAATCTTTATTATGTTTCTTTCAACATGTGCACAACCTTTTTTATTAAAACTGTTGCCAATATTTGACCTTGTGGTTGTGATGCACTTGTACTTGTTGTTGACCTTGTGACATGCCCTCAAAGTCAAACCTTGGTCAAACCTTCGTTCATATCCAACTGAACTTTTTCTGGTGCGTTGACCAGTCAAAACCTGAGAAAATCTGAACGATGAAGAAGGGCAAGAAGTTCTTGTTTGCATCTTTAACTCCTTCCATGTTGCAAATAATTGTTGTACCCGAGGTGGAATCTAGAATTTGATGCATGTATAAAAAATGTTATTTTAGTGACCTAATTGGAATAAAAATGTTTAACATAAAAAATTGTACATGATATATTTAACAAAATAAAATAAAAAGTTAAGAAACTTACTAGAGATGCAACACCACAAGAAGCAAAAGGCAGAGAGATTGCAGCAAAAGGTGAAGATCTTCCGCCTTTTTTGCCATTTTGATCACTTTTTATTGAACCTTGATCTTTAACAACAGACCCAAAAGGTGTACTTTCATCTTCATCGTCCTCGTCATCTTCATCGTCCATGTCATCATCCCCGTCATCGTCCACGTCATCATCAGCCTCAACCTTCGAAACTTGTTCAACTTGTTCAACCTTTTCAACTTTTTCAACCACTTCATCTTCATCTTCCAACTCAATTTCCATTTTCTTTTCTTCTTCTTTCTCCAACCTCTTCAACTCATTATCCATTTCTTTAAGAATCTCCTTCAATTCAGATTCAGCTTCGGCTATTTCAATATCTGTTTCTATTATCTTCAGCTTGAATTCACTCTCTTTCTTCTTCTCATCAATCTGTTTCTCCAAATTTTCAACCATGATTTTGCATTTATCTTGTAATGATGTCAGTGTACGTTCTAGAAAACTCCTCTCATCACGTTCAAACAGCTCTTCATCTCCAAGAGGCAAAAAGTCAACCTTACTTGGGTCAACATCTTCCTCATCTGGTTCCCAATACAATCTAATCCCATGTTCTTCATCATCTACATAGTTGATTATACGCCCTGTTGGCGTGTGTAGGATAACAGGATCTTCAGTGTACACCATCTTTGATGGATCTTCAGGATCAGGTGTCGGATCCTTGTTAAGTAGAATAAACTCAGGAGACTCATCTGTTCATAATGTAAAATTGTAAATCAAATGATAATTTCATAAAATAAATAAATATCAAACAACAAAATTATGAATATATTAACCTTTTTCCCACCAATATTCCAGCTCAGCTGGCATTGGTAACCTTAGTGGGGCCTTATAGAACGAGTTTATCCACATTTGGCGTTCTTCATCTACATCTTCCATGTAAACTTTCCAGTAATCCGGGACCTTTTTTTTTAAATGAAAAAGATTAGGATTTTATAAAAAAGGTAGTAACTTTATAAAAAAAAATGTAAAAAGTGGAATTTACTTCATAAAACTGATTAATGAAGCCTGGTGCCATCCAAACATCATCTCCTTCATATAAATAGGGATGTTGAGGATCACTATATGGACCACGTTGTTCTCTGACCACTGAAATGGAAAAATAATTAATTTTTAAACAAAAGTAATGTATGAAAATATATATATATATATATATATATATATATAAAAGAAAAAGAGTTAAAAGGCATACTTCCATCAGGCTTGTTAACAAACATTCTAGCCTTTGCTGCAGCCACTTCTGCTATACCTGAATGCAACTGAAATAACTTCATATTAGTTGATTGATCACAAAAAAAAAAAAAAAAATCAAATTATATAAATAAGATTCAAGAGAATGTGATGAACAGGAAGTTTTTGAAATTACCGCTGAAATATCAACATCACAACCATGATCTTCATCCAAAAACTCTCCAAAGTAAAACCTTCCCTGCATAAAGAGCAGTAAAAAGTTACCAATTCTTCAATACAGAAACATTAACTGTAAAAGATTTGAGTGATTTGGTAAATAACTTACATAAGTGGTGCGTTCATTGAGTTCAAAAACACCACACCCATGCATTCTGCCATGCTTCCATTGACCAGCATAACGGTATCGACCCTTCTCCCTGACATTAAAAAACTATGTTATATTTTATAAATTATAAATATATAATTTTTTTTATGTGAAAAGAGTGAAACTTACGGTTTCTGTCCAAATTGTCTGACCCATTCTTCATTTTCATAAAATGGGATTTCATATCGGCCCTTAGAGAGCCTTAAAGAATCTTCAATATCTTGCTCCAGCCATTCCTTGTCTTCTGGGGACATGAAGTCTCTTTTAAATATACGTCCTTCAGCACGCATTTTAGCTTCAAGACTGAAAATAGGAACACAAGATCAGAGTTTGTACTTTAATTGTGAGATGTAAAGAATATAGATGGGATTATAAACATACGCTGAACCTGGGATGGGTTCATCAGTAGGTATGTCAACTTCAAGAACACCATGACCCTCTGGACTGTTTTGCAACCATTCACCTTCATATCTGTGATGATTCAGCAAGATATGTGATGACTTCAAGAATTGGTTAAAGGAATTGTGTTAAGAAACTTGAAGAAGAACATGTGCAACATAAGCGAACCTGACCAGTCCTTGCTCAGCTTCGTAAACACCTTTGCCATGGGCCAAATCATCCCAGATAGTGCCTTCATACCTTGAGATAACAGACGTAGCTCATCAATGGTATGTTAGGGTTCTTATTAACTGTTTTACTTTCTAATTAATCGAAACTTAACTGCTTTTGCATGAATTTCTCGATCAAAAACAGTCAAACCCTAGGAATGGGTGATTGAGAAGATGATAGAACAATGGAGGTAATCATTACAGAATGTATTAACATAAATAAAGCAACTTACGTGCTCCCATCGGCAAAAACGAAGCTATGCCATTCCAAAAACTCTTCAATCCTATCAAGTTCTTCGATAACCGATTTCGCATTGCGAATATCATAATGATTGTCGGGTATAACCGGGTAACATTTCCGATACGGAACATAAAAGGGGGCAATTGGCGGATCCCTACCTTCCCTAATCTCCTCGTTAATATAATCAACTTCCTCCTTATCAACAAAATTCGGGTCCCACCCAGGTTTCATTATAAGAGGCGGACCATCCGCCCAATACTCTTGCAAATCCTCTTCTTTCCAGTTCTCCGGGTCACGGGGGAAATTGTACAACTCTTCGAGGTTATCGACGATGTTCACTTCATCTGCCTCTTCCAGTTTCTTGTACTCCTCAGACTCGAGGACTTGACTGAACTTTCTAAAGTTTGCTTCAGGGGAGTTATCTTCGTCATCGTTATCAGGTATTCTGAGTCGAGCAGAGTTTACCTGTTTGGGGATTTCGACTGCGACTGATTTCTCGGGGTATATCTCTTCGGTATCGGATGATGAATCTTCGTCGGCGGGACTGGGTGAAGCTGGTTTCTTCTCTGCCATTTTTGTTAGCTGGATTGGTGGAAGAAGAAAAAGATAAGGTGTGCAGAGTAGCGGCAAGGGGAGTGTGCTAAATCCTGCAACTTTTTTGGTTAAATAGGGGGAGATAAAACGATATCAACGAAGTGAATGAACCAATTTGAAATTAGTTAGGAAAACGTGGGGGTGTTATGTGATAATTTAAAGAGAAAGGAATGAAGTTGTAACAATTCCAAGATCTAGGTTTTTTTTTGACAAAATTAGTTTGCAAGTTATTTTTTCCATTTTTAATAGCGAT